CTGCTCAAAACTCGAGTTTGAATCATCAGTGGCAAATGCTTTAAATATGAAAACTTAGTCAGAACAGCCGGCATTGTAGTGTACTCTACCAGGATCAGGAAACAGTCCTCCATAAAATGTGCTGCACACATCTGAATATTTGGGTTGAACTGTTCTGGAACAGTGTTGTAAATACAACTTAACCACTGATTTCTAGTCGTGTCCTCTTTTGGAAGGCCAAACAAAGTAGTTTCGCTTTCACAACGAAACACACAGCGTCACACACAGCGGGTTAGAGTGAGGAACGGCCGGGGTGAAGATTTCGCCAGTGCTGTCCCGCGAACGTGAGGTCTGACTTTCCCGGAGAAGTGTAACCTCTCTCGGCGTCTGTTCTGTACAGTGAGCGGCAGAGAAGCAGTGCATTCAGTTGGCCGCACTGCAGTCGTGAAACCGGTATAATTGTGAAAAATACCGTGATATAAATTTTTGGTCATACCGCCCAGCACTAAGTCAACATGAAATGACATTCATGATCCATATTATTTCCGCAAAGTGACAGGACGTCGAACAAAATGGAAGGTGGGACTTTATTTTATCCATCAGGAATTGAATTTCACAGTCAAATGTTAAGGGCTACTTGCTTAATGAAACACATCTGTCACTGGTCGAAACTTAAGTGGCCTTGATGACATCATCAATAAAAGAATGTCGTTTCAGAGATGTAGCATTTTTTAGATTGCCAAGAAAAATAAATCTAGCCTACTATTTGGAACAACATTGAGAATAATAACATGAGTGCATAAAAAGTAGGCCTAAGTAGTCAATTTTGATTACATGTCGATTTTAAAAAAGAAACATTAAAATTTAAATAAAAGAACTGGATTAGAAGAGAAATTAATGTAAATCCAAACTCTCACTCATCTGATCACTTAAACCACTGTTTCCATGCTGACATAGTTCACAACTTCCACCTGAGCGCAACAGGAAGCCACAGGTGTGATGTGGTCACCTGACACTCCATGAGCAGTCATGTGACTCACAGTACAGAGATAAAAACACAGTCGTAAAGGTCACACACACACCCTTGTCTGTCCAGAAATCAGGTCAATATTTGTTTTCATTCCTAATCATGATAATTTCCAGGTTTTATCAGTCTGAAATAGGGATGTTCATTTTAACCAGTTAACCGTTAACTGACTGTGAAGAATTTTGACCGATTAATACAATCAGTTAAATGGTTTAAAAAGTCATTTATTTATTTATTTTTTAGTAATTTATCAAAATATTTAAAAAGGTTTGCTGCATGGTTGAAATACACTACGCGTATACAAAATAGCTTTTTTAAGATGAAAAAAACAAAACATAAGTCTAATAGGCCTAAGTCGCATTTTATTATTTCATTCAGAAATAGGCCTAATGCCTAGGGCTGCACGATTAGTCGGATGCGATTGTCATGCGCATTTTGATAGTAATGCCGGTTCTGTAATCAGCAGAAAATCATCATCACGTGCTTTCAGATGGAGCAGAATTTACTACACATAGCCGTAGTTCACTGACAAGTTATGCAAAAAAAAAATTTTAAAAATCGCAGATGATTTTATTGCGCGATTATGAAATCGTAGAAATCGTTCGCGATAATGACAGCTGTTTGCATAGCTTCTCAGTGAACTACGGCTCTGTCAGCTGCAGCGATAGGCATTTTCTGGGTTTCTTCTGCGAGGCATATTTGGAGTTTCAGCGCGAGAGCACCCTCTGGCCTTTGGATGGAGATTTACTGCTGATCATCGCGATCTCGATTCCATTTCGACTTATCGTGCAGCCCTACTAATGCCGACACAAAATGTTTACAAACATTATAATAAACACTGTAAATACAGCTAGGCTATTTTAGTTCCCCTGACTCCACAACAAATCCTTTCAATTAACAGTATTTAGAAAAGAACAAGAATTAAAAATATAAGAAAATATAGCAATATAAACGACAAGCCAAAACTAATTCATTTAGTCTAAAACGAAACTGAAACATACGCTGTGTCTCTCATTTGACACAAAATCAAATGTTTCCGTATTCACAAAGTATTTGAATGCCAAAATATTATTTATTATGTAGCCTACTTCACTCACGTTCCAATATCCACGTAAAACAAATTGTTTTGCATAACATCATGGCGGTATGGTGATAACGCTTAACGGCACAGATTTTACTGCATATTTAAACTGAGCAGTGTGTTTTTTCCATATGTTTAATGGACTATTTTATTATGATAATGAACAGGCTGCATTGTCAAGGCAGCAATGCTTAACTGTGTGAGAGCGTGCAGCGCCGGCGCAATCATTTGAATTTTTTCCTTCTAACAGTGGAATCAACTAGGCTACTCCTTTTAGTCATAAAGATAATCGGAATTGTAAAAGGTTTGCCTTTATTTGTGTACATTCACAATAAAAACAAATCTTTGTGCTTTTGTAAAATAAGCCTAAAGAAAAATAGGATGCCGCTTTCTAATGTTTGGTTTTCTTTCGTGCAGCACAAAAAAAAACTGAACCTCTGCATACTAGGCTACTTGTTGCACAGTTTTTCTTTCATTTTCTTAATTTATTATTTAAATAAAAATATATTTCTCGTATAGGCCTATTTATCATTATATATATAGGCCTATAGCCTAGCTTTACTATGTTTTTCTCCGCTGGAAGAAGCGCTGCAGGTGCGTGATGTGATGGCCATGTGAATCCTCATGTTCTGTTGTTTGCAGCTTTTTGCGCATGTAAAATTAATCCCCGGGAAACAAATGTTAGTATTTTTTAACGGGTCACAGACACGTATCCTTTCTAATTTAATTAAATTAGAATTTAAAATAATAATGTCGGTTAACGGTTAATAATCGGTTAACGAGCGTCGGTTGGGAAAAATAACCGTAATGAACATCCCTAGTCTGAAACATAATCAATGACGGCAACTTTATTCAACTTCCATATGCCATTAAAAACAAGCAGATTTTTAAACTATTTTATGCAACTAATACTCAATGAAGCACAGGATGTCAACAGTCATTTCAGAGACAGCACATATATATAACAAAAAGCTTTTTTCTTTGGAATAACATTAGCTGAGGAATCATTCACAATAACTTTGAAGAACCAGGAACATGCATTATGAAAAGTAAACTGGGTCAATTTTGATTTCTTTTTTACTTAATTTTTTAATACTTTTCTTTTTAGGGACAAGCCTGAACATGCATCACATAAATGTGTTCTAACATTAGTTACAACCCAACATACATATATAAACACAAACTATTAACAAAAATGATCAAAAACCAAACACAAACATATAACAAACAATACACAAAAGTAGAATATAAACAAAATAACCTAAAAAAAACATTTAATAATAATAATAATAATGACAATACGGAACAGTTAATGTAAAATAATAATAATACCTAATAATTTTATTTTGATTTATTGTCAACTTGAATACACCTTCAACCACCAAAGATCTACAAATGTCTGACATTTCTTCTTGAAAATCAGACAAAATGTCAACGGAAGAGCATTTAGGATCAGTTCTTTAAGATAAACAGACAGGGCCGGCTGTGTCTAAATTTGCCCCATGAACTGGCGTAGCACTGAGATCTCCAGTTACCCCTAGAGAAATGACCCTGCCGTACGTAAAGCGAGTTCAAGAACATCTGTTAAAGGACATCTACCCACACCGTTCTCAGTGAATATGTTCATGCAGTTCCTGTGATCTAACAGGTACGGCATGCTTCTCATTTTAACCCACTGAATTTACCTTCCAGGCATCTGAAGACAAAGAAAGAGTGAGGAGAGGAAATACATATTATATTGCAACAATGGCATCCAAACATCTGCATCAATCCGAACAAACGGTTTATCGTGCATTTACATGCACGCTGATGTATGTCAGGTGACAAATGATTAGAGGGTCAAATAAACCGGTAACTAAAGAAAACAACTATTAACTTTACATTCAGATAGATTACTTTCAATTTAAATGTGGTCTATTTAGGATTCTCGTCTCCTTGCAAAAAGTACCATGGTATTACTGTGGATTCTAGACACCGTCTACTCAAAAAGTACCTTGGAAAAACCCTGGCATAACAATATAGCACTTACTCAGGCCACTGGTACAATGGCATCTCCAAAGTACTTTTTTATAGAAGGGTGGCGAGATTGTTTGCAACTCTCACACCTGGCCATAACCCAAAATATACACACACTCAGACCATGAAAATCCAATTTCAAATGTGCCTTTCCCATGATATCATACAGAAAGCACCCACGCGGTGGTGAAATGACAGGTTTAGCATAGAGAACAGCTAGGAAAGCACTCTATTGGCATGAGCCGACTCGCGCATGCGCAGTAGCGCAGCCGATGACGCCACAGTAATGAATTGTTTATGCTTTTTTTTTTTTTTTAAATAACTTTAAAAAAATAACTCGCTGCTTAAAGGCACCAGTGATACAGTAAAGATGCTTTGTTCCAGTCTGTTAACAGGTTTAACCCTTAGAGTGATGGATTTTGGGGTTACTGCAAGTACCAGGCCGCTTGAACCTTAAACGTTTAACTTAACCTAAACCATAAACAATGTATCGATTATCTCAGCTGGACAAAGTAGTAATTACATATTAAACGCTGACAAAGTCATTACTTTGACTCATCTGGCATCAAAATATTATTAGTCAGTCAACCCGCATGTTAACGCAAAACTTTAGCCGAATAACCTCAACATCTACAATAACACTGATCCAAATATACAGATGAACAGAACGGACGCCAATTATTAGACAACCAAAACAACCTTCGGAACTCTGGAATATGATTCTGAATCAACCGATTTCAGGTGATTCACTCAGCTGATATGAATCAGTTAGCCGGTTAGCATGCTAAAGCCCAGAATCAAGGCCTAGTCAGCATATACTCACACATTTAACAGCATTTCTCACGTAAAACAATGAATAAAACCCTCGGAGCGGGTAGATTCGGGTGTGATACTCACCTATAGTGGAGATGAAGGTGGTGTTAAAGGCGTCGTCTGAAAATCGAAACAGCACGCAGGTCTTTCCCACCCCAGAATCACCAATCAAGAGCAGCTTAAAGAGCAGATCATAGGTCTTCTTCGCCATCTGAGCTCTTTATAAACACACACTGAAGAGAAACGGATAGAGACTGAGTGTGTGTTAAAGGGAAAGTGTGTGTGTGTGTGTGTGTGTGTGTGTGTGTGTGTTATCAGAAAACACACACCGGACAG